TGTAGTCATGAGACCCCGAACACACTATAGACCCTTCCCTAAAAATACAAAAAAACTTCCCAAAAACAGATATTCTGGGGTTTTTAATTAATTAATTAATTTAGTATATGTGCTGCTGAAGGGAACACTTAATTTATTTATTTATTTATTTATTTATCTTTTAATATTTATTTATTTATTTATTTGTGTGTGTGGCCAGCTCAGCCCACCAGGGGGCAGGGGCTGGCTGGCATGTGGTGTTGGGGGATTGAACCACGGTCCCTGTGCATTGCTTAGCTTAGCTTGTTCTAAGTAGATGCTTTAGACCACTGAGCCATCTCACCAGCCCCAGGGAGCACTTAATTTATAGACAGATTCTTGGTATGCATTTCAGGCTGGCCTTGAACCTAACGCAATCCTACGTTAGCCTCTTAAGAGTGCTTGGTGGGGGCCAGGGAGATGGCTCAGTAGAATATGCACTTCCTCACAAGCATGAGGGTCTGAGTTCAATCCCTGGTTCTGCAAAAAAAAAGACAGAGTGCTCAGGTTACAGGTGTGAGCCACCACACCTGGCCTAGATGTATTTAGTATAGGGTCTCACTACACAGATTGTCCTCATAATGATCTGTCCTGTTTTTCAGTCTCCCAAGCACTGGGATTATAGGTGCAGGCCACCATGCCCAGTCTCATTCACAGTCTCAGTGAGCCCTGAGGGCGGGGCCAACACAGCAGGCCAGGCACTTTAATCCTCTGAGCTATCTGATAGGCCTTTATATATTGATTGTATATTTCAATATGTTTATCTTTTACCCTTTACCACAGTTATGAAAGACGAAGTTAAATGCAGAACTTAAAGACTTTTATCAGGAGCCTTTTTCAAGACTTAAAATCTTAAATGCGTGAGCCTCTGGGTTTGAACTACAGCACCACATGTGCACACACACACACACACGTTAATTAGACCTTAAGAAGTTGTTTTTTTTTTTTTTTTTTTTTTTTTTACGAGCAGAATATATATTTAAACATTTATTTATTTGTGTTTGTGTGTGTGTGTGTCCAGCTCAGCCCACCTGGGGGCGGGGCTGGCTGGCATGTGGTGCTGGGGGATCGAACCGCAGTCCCTGTGCTTTGCCAAGCTTGTTCCAAGTAGGTGCTTTAGACCACTGAGCCATCTCACCAGCCCAGAATATATTTATTGAGAGAAAGAAAGCTCCAAGAGAGGGACAGAAGGAGGGGGCCCGAGTAGGTAGTTCCCCCCCAAGAAGTTTAATTATGATAGAATTATAAACAGGACTCTAGTTTCAATTCCTTTTTATTTACAGACATTTCTTGTTTAATGTCTGAGTCATATTCCTGCGACTAGATCATCAGTTGAATTGCTTGCTAAATAAGGAATTGGATATAGTATGTATATGACAATATTCAGTAGAAAGAAATGATCAAAGGAAACTCCAACTTCATGACTTGCTTTTATTTCCATTCCTTACATGGAGTACTATAATGCATAACAGAATATAAAACTATGGTACTGTACTATATAGCACAATCAACAAAAATCATAGTGCAATATAAATGAAGTATGCTGTACAAAAAGAAGAGCTGAGAGGGTGGGGGAGATGGTTCTGCAGCCTAAGCGCCTGGCAAGCTCAAGGACTCAGGTTCCATCCCTGTTTCCACATGCCATGCTGGCCCGGGGCAGAGCTGGCCACCAAAACCAGGCGTGGTGATGCATGCCTGTAATATCAGCGCTGGGGAGGCTGAGACAGGATGATCATTATGTGTCCAAGTTGCATAGTGAGACCCTGTATCAAATAAGTAAATATTTTAAAAAATGATTGTAAGTTTTAGCGCCAGGTTGTAAGTTTGAGCAGTTGTTAAGGGAGGTTGTTAAAGAGGAACATCTGTGTTTTTACAATACTGGGGATTGAACTGAGGGTCTTGGCAAGCTAGATTCCCCAACTGTTTTTATTTCATTTATTTATTTTTTAAATGTATTTAGTACAGTCTACAAGGTCTCACTATACAGATCGCATTTGTAGTGATTCTCCTGTTTTCAGCCACCCAAGTGCTGAGATTATAGGTATGTGCCACCACGCCCAGCCTCAATTACAGTCTCTGCTCATTCTGGGGCGGGGCTGACAGGGCACCTGGGATCGAACCCTCCCTGCATCTGCTTAGCACTTTAATCCCCTGAGCTATCTGGCTGGCCCTTTTTATTTTTTATTTTGAGATGGGTCTCACTAATTGCCAAATGGCCCAAGTTGGGTTCAGACTTTGCACACTACTGCCTCAGCCTCCCAAAGTGCTGGGGTTACAGTTCAGTGCCACCTTGCCTCCCATGCAGTAATCCACATACTGGAAATGCATGTTTTTAAAAATTAAAGATTATTGTATTAAAAATGACTACTAGTAATTTTACTGAACATGACTAAAAAGTTTTTTCTTGTTGTTATTTTATTTTTTTGTGTTTTTGTTGTAACAGGGTTTGAACCCAGGGCTTCTCACATACTAGGTAAGGGCTGTGTCACTGAACTATATCCCCTGCCCTAACTCAAAAGATTTGTGTGTGACCAGTAGTAGGCTGTTCCACATGATATATATGCAGTGGCAGCTTTGGGTCTGTGGTTCTAGTAATTGTTGGGAGGCTTGGTGATACCATTGTGTGTAGCTTTAATAAGAGCCATTTTATTTATTCATTTATTTATTTTTTATGTATTTAGTACAGGGTCTATAGGATCGCACTACACAGATCAGATTCGTAGTGATCCTTCTGTTTTCAGCCTCCCAAGTGCTGGGATTACAAGTGCTGGTCACCATGCCCAGTCTCAATGATAACTGTCTCAGGTCACCCTGGGGGCAGGTCTGGTTGGTGCTCCGGGGATCAGGGATCGAACCTGGTGCCTGTGTCTGCCTAAGCTGTCACTTTAATCCACTGAGCTATCTGGCTGGCCAAGAGCCACTTTATTTTGAGAGAATAGCCTGTTTTTGTTTTTGTTTTCAGAACTGGAGATTGAACTCAGGCCCTTATTCTACTGAGTTATCTCCCTGGCCCCTAGCCTGTTTTTATAGCTACTTGTGCACTCAGTATTTTCTAAGTATATAATGTGATAGATACTAGAGCTGGAAAGAGGGCACATCTCTGCCCACCAAGAGTTGTCTCATAGTGCCTTCTTGGGCAGCTAGGTTCTGTGCTTGTCAGTGAACAGACTCCATAAGCATGTTCTACCCAGGCATTTTGACTAGGCCTGATCATTGTTTGTTGAAAGGCTTTCACAAAGCATCTGCCCACTAGATGCCAGTAGCATCTCCAACTTGAGTTGTGACAATCAAAAATATCTCCACACATTGTGAGGTGCCTGGGGCAAATCTGGAATGTGAACCAGACTTTTATATGTGTTGGTGACAAAAAGCTTTGATAAGTTAGTTTATAAAAATATAATAACGGGTTGGGGAGGTAGCTCAGTAGAATAAGTGCTTGTCTGGCAAGTGCAAGGTCCTGAGTTCAATCCCCAGTATCGCAAAAACTAAAAACAACAAAACTATAATAAAAAGTTAGCAAATGAAATGAGAAAAACTTAGATCCATCTGCAGCACTGAGATATATATCCCAGGCCTTTTTTATTTTTTTATTTTTTTTGCAGAACCAGGGATTGAACTCAGGCTCTTGTGCTTGCCAGGCAAGCGCTTATTCTACTGAGCCATCTCCCCGGCGCCCCCCCCCCCCAGGCCTTTTTTAAATGATTAATTGATTGGTTGATTGGTTGGTTGGTTGATTTAGACAGTCTCACTATGTAGCCCAGTTGGCCTCAAACTCACAGCAATCTACCTGCCTCAGCTTGTACCATCATAAGGCCCTATCCAATTGCCAAAGTAGCATGGCCCTTCGGAGCCCCATACAGAATTTCCCGGTGGATGTGATGAGGGAATGCTGAGAGTGGGTGTTGGAGGAGGAGGGTCCAAGGAGTCAGGGCCTGAAGTCTCACCTGACCGTCAGTACACACTGCAAGCATAGGACTCCATCATAGCAGTGCTGTGTGACCCGGGTACCTGCCTCCTCCAGGTTTTTGTTGGTGCTACTTTATCAGCTGACAACCCAGTTCCAAGAACATCTTAGTAAAAAAAAAAAGAAAGAAAAAAGAACATCTTAGTTCCTGGAATATATTATTTTCTAAAAGCAAAACAATAAACCACTTTCTCTGGAATTCTGAAGAAAAAGTAATTCCAGTGTTTTTCATTTGAATTACTTTACTGTGAAATGGACTTGGACTCACTCCTGTTTTGTTTTGTTTTGCTTTGTTTTGTGGCAGTACTAGTGATTGAACCCAAGACTTGTGATACCATTGATGTACATTCTACAACCCTTTTGATTTTTTTTTTTTTAATTTAAATACTAGCATTGACCAGACTGGCCTCAAACTTGAGCTCCTTGTGTTTTAGCCTCTCAAGTAGCTGAGATCAGAGGTGTGCATCATTGCATCCAGCTGACTTCTTCACTTTATTGCTTATCCATGTTTAGACAACATCTGAAGAACAGGGCCAGGGAAATGGCTGAGTAGAATAAGTGCTTGCCTGGCAAGCACAAGGGCCTGAGTTCAATCCTTGGTTCCATTAAAAAAAAAAAAAAAAAAAAAGTGGTATCATTGACTTAAAAAAATCTGAAGAACATTATACAGCTGAGAATTTACCTTTTTTAAAAAAATTAAGTAAATTTTATTTTAAAGAAATTTTATGTGATTTAATTAGGGTCACTTTAGTGAGACTGTCTTCAGAGTAGGCCTTCTCGAAAGAACTGAAGCTTACTCCAGCCATCCCATCTGCCTTGACACAATTCTTCTATCTTCACTTGAATTATGGACATTGACAACTGTGGTCTTATATCCAATTTCATCCAGCAATACATTTTTGGAGCCTAGAATTTGAATTATACATAGTATTAGTATTTTGGTGCATGACCTAGATTGTTATTCCTTAACCTTTCATTTCTAATACTCAAAGTCAACATTTTTCAGTCAGTATTAGGCAAATGTTACAGGCCTCATTGTCACCACTGTAAATATTTACTGTGATGGAAGCATGACCTGTGTCTCAATTTTAGCCACTTGACCAATTCTGGACACCAATCGAGAATTTACCTTAATAGTCTCTCAGAGCTTGTCTTCCAGTGATGCTTGGCTTCTCAAAGTAGAGAGATTACTTTTCCATTGAAAAGGGTATCACTAATCCCAGCTCTTGGGAGGCTGAGTATCTTGGTTACTTTTCTCCCATTGCTGAGACCAAATACCTGTCACCCAAAGTTAAGGAAGGAAACTTTTATTTGTTTATTTAGCTCACAGTTTGTGGAGGTTTCAGTCAGTCCATATTCAGCTGACTCCAAGGCAGACTAGCACATGACACAGGGAAGCAGTTCATGGTGGCGGAAACAGCAAGAGCAAAAGGAAGGAGCAGTGGCAACAGAGAGCAAGTCTGTCTACCTTATGTTGCATTCAGGCTGTGTGCCTCAGGCTGGATATAACACTCATACACATAATCCCAGTAGCACTCACCCAGCACTGGATCATGAATTAATTACAAACTCTAGAAGCTGCCCCATGACTGCATGAGGCTTTGTGGGGACAACTAGACACAAGCCTTAACATTCTGTGTCTGGCTCCCAAAACTCATTTATATACATCCCTTAATGCAAACAGCATTTTAGTCTATCTCTAAGAGTTACCAAAGTCGTAATGGTTTGAGCATTGCTGAAAAGTCTAAGTTCCAAGTCTCCTCCAAGATCTAAAGAAAAGTCTTAACTGTGAACCCCTGTATAAATGAAAAGTTAAACACTTCCAGCGTTCAATGGCACATGCAAAACATTACCATTCCAAAGAGTACAATCAAGGAGATACAAAGCATTGGGAGCAAACAAGTCCAAAATTCAACAGGGCAAACTTTAAGTTCTGTAGTTCCATGTGAAGCATCTGAAGAGATCTGTGGCAAAATGTTAGCTCTGTGTGGCTCCACCTCTGTGGCATTTTTCATGGTAGCTCCTATAGCTTCTCTGTCAGGCTTGCTTTTCTCCCTTGCAGCTTTTCTAAGATCCACATTTCTGGCTTTTCCAAACTTCTGGGATTTCCATTGCACATTAGGCTTTTCACTCTGCTTCACACACTGCTCTCCCAAACCTTTTTTTTTTTTGTGGTACTGGGGATCAAACTTGGGACCTTGCACATGGTAGGCTTATACCGCTGAGCTGTCACCCCAGGCCCCTCCCAAGTCTTCTGAAATCTAGGTGGAAGCCTTCTTAACCTCAGAACTTGCATTTTGCTTGCGCTAAAACCAACGCCACATGAATGATGCTAGGGTCTGCTGCCAGCGGAGCAGTAGCCAGGCTTTCTTCCCTCTCGGCTGTAGGGGTCAAGTGCTTGGATAGCTGAGTACTCTGAACCTGATTCTGAGGAACAGATTCTGTCTGCCACCACCATTTTGGAACCTGGTGTGGCTTGGCCTCTGCCTCCATTCTGGAACATGGTGCTTTGCGGCTTTCTCCTCAAAGCAAAGTCTTTCGATTTTGCAGTTTTCAGACTGCACAGGGTAGAGATTTGCCACTTCTGGTGATGCCTTTAGGCCATCTTTTCTCTTCTCCTGATCCTTGACAAAGGAGATCTTCTTAGCTCTATATTTGGAACTTCCTTTCTGGCCAAACTCACATTTTAAATCATCTTGCTGGGCTCTCTGCTCTTGATTCTCCACATAGATCTGACTAAAGACTGCCAACAATAGCCAGGCCACTGACTGAACATTTGACTGCCTTGAAATTTCTTTCGCAAGATTGATCAGTCTGCTGTGCTTAATCTCCATTCTTGTGGCTCCAAGGCAGACTGGTACTTGGCAAAGAGCAGCAGTTCATGGCAGAAAACAGCAAGAGCAAAAGGGAGGAATAATGGCAATAAAAAATACAGAGAGCAAGTCTGTCTCCCTTCTGTTGCATTCAGGCTGTGTGCCCCAGGTCAGGTGTAACACTGGATCATGAATTAATCACAAACTCTGTAAGTCCACCCCATAACTGCAGGACTCTGGGGGAATAACTAGACATAAACCATAACACTGAGGCATGAGGATAATTACAAGTTCAAGACCAGCCTGAGCTACAAAGTGAGCTCAAGCTCTGCCTGAACTGCATAGCAAGACATTGTCTCAAAAAGAATATAAAGATTTTTTTTTAAAAGGGTATCTCGCCTTTAGTACTAATTAACCTTAAACATCCATTTATCCTGTCTTAGCTTAATTCCTTACCTGTGGGATGTGGGTAATGGCAACTAGGTCAACTCTTTTGTCCTGTTTATCTGATAATTACCTAATGTCCATACCTTTACATTCAGCTCAAACTTTTGTATATCCTTATTCTTAGAGAATATCCACATTGCCACTGCTGTGCCTGGTAGAATTTTGATTCATCATGGATCACATGTCACCTGAAGATATTCAGCTAAGGGCTAACCAGCTTACTGATGAGGTAAATAATTGATCCTATTCCAGTTTTCACAGTAGAGGAATGCCAGGGCCTTCCTAGAGCTCATTTTAACTTCTTCTTGATCCTTTTATATCAAAGAATATATTTGTCCAATAGCACCCTCACTACCCTTTTTTCCCCCCAACTCACAGAAAAAATTACATAAGTGAGAATGATTTATATGATTTTTTTTCTTTTTAGGCAGTTATTTCTAAGCAGTTCCTTGCAACATAAATACTCTAAACTTTTGTTTCCTGATAGCTATGTAATTTATACACTTAGATTTCTGCCAATATTAAATATTTATGTGCTCTTTTTTCTTTTTTTTAATGTATTTAGTACAGGGTCTTCACGGTCTCATACACAGATCAGACTCCTCATGATCCTCGCGTTTTAAGCCTTCCTAGTGCTGGGATTACAGGTGTGCACCACCACACCCAGTCTTTTTTTTTTTTTTTTTTTTGGCGGAACCGGGGATTGAACTCAGATCCTTGCGTTTGCCAGTCAAACGCTTATCCTACTGAGCCATTTCCCCAGCCCAACCACACCCAGTCTTGATCACTGTCTCAGCACACCCTGGGAGTGGACCGGCATGCACACCAGGGATCCAACCTGGTCCCTGTGTCAGCCTAAGCAGGCATTTTGGTCCACTGAGCTATCTGGCCAGCCATTTATGTGCTCTCTTAACCCCACCATCTAAATTATTCCCTTAAAGAGCATGTGACAGGAAGATCAACTTTGTTTTGTTTTAAAAATGGCCTGGTGATTTTTAAAATTAAGAGTAGCATCATAAATATAAGCTATGATGTTTGTTTTTGTATTTTGGAATGTTTAAACTCTGTTTTCTCCTAGTCTCTGGAAAGTACAAGGAAAATGCTTGACTTAGCCGTGCAGGTAAGAAATGATTTTGTTTGTTTTTCATCTTTTTTTGAAACAAGGTTTCACTATGCAGTTCAGGCTGGCCTTGAACTCACTTTGTAGCCCAAACTGACCTCAAATTTCCAAGTGCTATGATTATAGACATGTGCCACTATGTTCAACCAAGGAGTGTTTAGTTATCGTATTAAATACAGAAACTTATAGGTAGAATTCTAATCACACAAGCTGGAGTTGGTGTTAAAGGGTATTGTACCAGTACACTTTATTATCTGAAACCAGAAGTTGCTGCAGTTAAGTCATACACTAATGAGCCTTTTCTGTTTTTTTTCCCTTTGACAGTATAGGAGTATGACAGGGAAGATGAATACATCATGACTTTGTGACCTAGTTGTTTTGGGGAATTAATATATTAAAGTATGTTGTTTTTAAGACTCAAGTTTCTTTCTTTCTTTTTTAATTTATTTTTTAATTTAATTTAATTTATTTATTTATTTTT